ATTTTCGCTCTTTGGGTAGTATTAGTTAGATGCGAGTTCCACATGAGCCGCTGATCTAGTGTAATCCCCAGATATTTGGCCTTCCTCTGTCATATTTTTCTAGTGTACAGGAACTTGAGACCATTGGCTCAGTGAGGAATTGCATTTATTTACACCAATGTCACCAAAGTTTTCTTTGGTAACCTTTATCTTGGTAGCTTTGGAAATATGCATTTGTTTCCAAAATTGGTCTGCTACTTCCACGAATTTAAAGAGGCCGGCGTTGTTGACCAATAAGAAAGGATGTTTCTGGTTATTATTATGGTATTTTAACCAGGCCTTCGCCTCGTTTAGGTTTTTCAATGATTGCGTAGTCTCGATCTCACTGGGACCTTGTGTGATGTACCCCTTTGCCACCAATGTGACCACCATAGCCAGCACCTCATTTTTTGTTCTGGCCATAGCAATTGTCAGACCAAAGAAATAATTTTTGTTTTTTACTTGGAGATACAGAACGGTCCTGATCGGCCATAACTGCGTAGTGTGGACTGTAACTTACAACGAGAAAAGGAGCGTCCTTGCAGGTTGCACAAGGTACTTGAAACGTTTTGGTCGGCATTTGGCAGATTTCACTTTTCCCTTGAAGGAGCTTTTCAATCCCTTATACTTTCGTAGTGCAAGTGTAGAAAGCCACTTACAACAATAAGAACGAATAAACGCATTTCGGGATTTGCGTTTTGGTTTAGCAGCAGCCTTCATTTATTGTAGACATAGCCGCTGGCAAGTGTTTTTTGTTTTGTTTGTTTGCTGTTTGTTTACTGTTTGTTTATTAATTCTCCTGTATGATTTCAAATCAGACAATAACAATAATCAAATATATAACCATTCCATTCTAATGGTCGTTTCCGGCCATTTGGTCTTCCTCGCCTCGCTTTTACAGTCCGTTTCGGCCATCCCCCATAACCAGTTGGTCTGGTTTCTGTTTACACTTACCCACCACTGATGATGGCGAAGAGCCGAACGTGTCTGGCAGACCAAAACAGCAAGGGTAGGCGGGCCAAAATGATCGGAAATGGCCTAACAACAGGTCCATCGTCCCGTAGCCTTCACGAGGAAACAATTACTAAGAATCAACATAAATTTAAAATAATTGTTAGGGTTATACTAATATAGTAAAACTGCCGTTTTAAGATATTAACTAAGCCAAAAATTATTTATTCATAGATTAAGTGATCGTCGTTTGTGAATAGAATTTTTTTTTCATCGGTACTAGTAGAAAAACGTGTCGTGAGGATGATAATAGGAGGAACCGTAATTATTTTGAAATTTATGTGATTGGAACACCCGGATGGTTGGTTGTAAGGATAAACCTTTTTTCTTTGTGTTCCCTTTCAAGTCCTTGAAGTTGATAGTAAGTCATGGCCGCGTCATTGAACTGCAAGCAGTACATCAAACCTGAATGAAAAAAATAAATAAATAAACAAGTCTAAATACTTTTTTTTTGTAATTATGTTTGTTTTTTTCTATTTGATTCAGTCATATTACAAAGAAATTCCATCCCAGTTTTATTTGTAGTTAATAGTTAAAAATATGGATTTGATTTATATTTTTTTTCTGATCCTCTTACACCGTTTTTGAAACTTTTATTTCATGTTTCATGCTATTTAGAAGCAAAATAAACCATATTTTATTTTACATATTTGTAGGATTTTACATATAATTACACATTTCACCTGAATTTACATATTTTGGCCCGTATTTAATAAAATAAACAACAAACTTTTGAAAATTAAAAGAAAAAATGAACTAAAGATTTCACGATGTAATCAAAAATTTAAAGAAAAGTGAATTTTCAGATGTTGATTCTTTGATATCAAACATAAATTGACAAGATAAATTCTCGGCCCACGTCTTTATTGACTCCAGTGTGCCCCAAGGCTCTCATCCGGGGCCAGTATTGTTTCTGATATTTTTCAATTACTTAGGATCGGATTACTTTGACAAATCATTTTAATTCTTAGCTGATGACCTACAAATCTTTCGCCCAACTTCCTAATTTAAGCAATATAGTATACTGCTGTAGAACCTGGACGCTTTCTGGTCTTGGTTCACAAACAATATTCTTTAATTACATGAAAATAAGTGTAAGGTCACGATTTTCCAAGAAAAAAGTCGTGAAATTGACTTGTTTGTTTATAAATTCAATGGTCATCCCAGGACGACGTCGGTTCCATCACGGACCTTAGGTTATTTTTTTTTTATCAAGAACTGTGGTTTTTGTGACTACCTTCAAGCTGTTGCAAAAAAAAGCATTTAAAAACTTAGGCTTCATTAAAAGACGGACTGTAGATTTTAAAGATGTATTTGGCCTAAAAAATCCTCTCCAATCACCTGTTTGTTTTCATTTGGAGTAGGCAAATATTGTTTGGCTGTATGGATCAAACAGTGGATCGCTCATGATTGAGTACAAAGGAGGGTATCTAAATATTTGCTATTCAAAATTAATATACATAACAGTAGTGAGCTCCCTTATACTGAAAGACTTAATTTGGTCGGACTGGACTCCTGGGAATATAGAACAATTTTGGCTTTGGCCTTGTTCTTATGGACGATACTTAACAATAAATTGATTCCCTGGAGATCTTGTCCTGCATTGGTATTAGGGTTGCCCAGTGTCAACTCCGCTCCTGTGTTATTTCAGCATAGGACGAATTATGGATCAGAATCTTGTCTTTCCCTGATAATTTGCCATATTAATATCGAGGACCTGTTCTCTGACTCCTCGCTGATTTTAAAAAAGAATTTGCTAGAGTTAAAGAAGTGATTCATTGAGCCCTGTTTCTTGTTTTGTATGTTTTTTTATGTATTTAATTTTTTGCCTTAGCCACAAGTTTTATTGTTATCAATTGCTGTTTTATTAAGTTATTTTATCAATTCATGGCTAATTCTTTTTATCTAGTGATACATTTTTATATTCTTAATTGTGTTTTTTGTATTCTTGACTGTTCAGCCTTTGGTCATTTGATCCGTTTGAACTGCAATAAAATAAATAAAGGATTTCCTTAAAGTGCCAAGTAGAGTAAGGGTTTTAACGGATAACTATTTAGATTTATTACTTCCACCACAACCTGTCATAACGAGATGGGGGACCTGGGTACAGGCCACTGTGTACTGCAGTGAAAATGTTTCAAAAATTAAATACGTCATTGCAAAATTCAAAGAAAACGCTTTAGCCCTAGAAAGGGCAAAATAAATTTTATAAATGTATACATTCACGCAAAATTTAGCTTTCATTGCATCCAACATTACATTTTTGGCAAGCATAATTTTACGACGGGAAACTCTAACCCAGCATTGCAAAACGACGCCATCGAAAATGTGGAAAATATTGGTAGAAATTTAGTTCTTGCCTTTTTGCATCAAATGGAAAATCAGGATGTATCACAAAACCAGTTTATTTTAATAATGTAATGGAGTGAGGATTTTTCTCTGTTCACTGAAAACAGTCAAACCCAAAACAAAATATTGATAAATCCTGTCCTGTTGAATTAAAATGTGTAGTGATTTTACACTATGTCCTTGAGATCTCTGTATGGTGAAACTCCTTCATACATGGCCTTCATCAAGGCCTCATTTGTACAAAGCTGTGGTAAATGTTGCTTAATTAATTAATGAGTGATTATAACAAACAATTAAAAAAAGATATAGACCACTATTAAAATATTCTTCAGACATTATAACATTATAACTATAATAATATGAATAAAATTAAACTTTTTTAAATTAAAAATCCTAAATTTTTAAAATCCTAAAAAATCCTAAAATCCTAAATTAAAATCCATCATAAACATCATATTTAACAGACAGATTACTAGGCAAATCGTAGCACACATAAGCGACAGAACTGAAATCTTCTTATTTCCATTTTACACAGAAAAATTTTACTTCTTTTTAGTATGTTGCATAATTTTTGGATGGAGTTGATGCTGGTTGTTGGCCTGTGAGTCGGTGAACTCATGCTGAACCATATTCAGATATACACTAATTGAGTCTGTTTACTCTCATGAGTTTGTTGTCCTACTGAAACTCATTAAATGACTCAGTGTTGGTTCAGCATGAATTTTGGATAGTATCAATTGATATATTAGGTAAATATTATTATCCATTAACTTGTGAAACATTAAAGGATGAAAAGTGGTGTCTGCATTGTCCGCTCTATGGATATCTTTGTTTTATATCGAACAAGCCAATATTAAAATGTCCAATTGTCAAAACCAGCGAGACGGCAGACTGGAACGATTTGAAATAATCAAACTTCAACCACAATTTCTTTGGGACTTATTAGTGTTTTTAGTTAAGTGAATAGGAATTCTCTTTTGGCCTCTGCCATTTTTAAGCTCTAAAGTCAAAATTAAGATCCTTTCCAGTTATAAAATCGTCAAAGGAGTTTTTTTTTTTTTTAGCCATCTAGGGTCTTTCATAGAAATAAGGAAGAAACCAGGTAAGCTTCTTTAGCTGACATATTGATCACTCAATGGTGTGTACCTAATTTTAAAAAAATTCTGTAGAAATGATAGCAAATAATTAATTGAAACTTGTGAAATTTAATCTTCAGAACTTTATCTTTGCACTAAAATAAATGTACAAGTACAAATTGTTTTTTAAATTGTTTATTTCTTTACGAAACTGCAGCTGTTTAACGCAACCTTGTTTAACTGTTTATTGTAGTTGTAAAAAATCATAATAAGTAAAATAAAAACATTTGAAGCAATGAAACTGATCCTGTGACATACCAATTAGCTTTAATTAGGGTTGATATGTGCAATTTGCAGTCTCCTTATTTAGGCCACTGTACAACTGTATTTGACAGGACAGTGCGCGAAAAACTTGTGATTGGATTGCACACACAATGATAAAACACTGTGTAAGTTTTATAAAAGAATCCTTATCCCATTAAAAAATTTAAAGCACCTAACATAAAAATGTAAAAAACATTATTTGTCCTTAACTAGTTTTTTCAGAATCGAAAGCAAACATGAGGTCACAATCTTAGGCGGCCTGAATGAATTCTGTGTGAAATTCTTTGGACCCAGAGGAAGTAAGTTAATTTTTTTACTGAATAAATACTGTTTTGCTTCTAAAAAACAGTTATATTACAATGGCAATTTTTTAGCACCATACGAGGGTGGCATCTGGAAAGTCCGGGTTCATCTGCCAGAACACTATCCGTTTAAATCACCATCAATAGGATTTATGAATAAAGTTTACCACCCGAATATAGATGAAGTATCTGGTACTGTCTGCTTAGATGTTATCAATCAAGCATGGACAGCTTTATATGGTATGAATTTTTATAAATATTCTTAATTTATTTATTTCATATTTAGTTCTTTCATACATAATGGCTGTTTTATACCTTTCTAAGTGTTTTTTCCAGTCACATTCATTATATTATATATGAGTTAATTTTTAAACAGAAAATTGGAAATAAAAAAATGCCAATGTACACAGATGAGATTCAAACCCACAATCTTCAGAACTGTACCCTTACCTTAGGGTTGAGATAGAAAGGTCGTCTCGGAGATCGAAGTTGTGGTGGCTCAGGTAGTTTGTGCATTGGAGTACAGTTCTAAAGATGTGGGTTCGAATCCCCTGTGACATTGGCTTTTTTAACCCAAATTTTCTGTTTAAAAATTTATACATAAAAGAATGGAACAAGGATCAATAAAAAAGCTCTCCTTATGGGGAAAAAATATATAAAAATCCAGATGAGAGATCAGTTGAGCAACCAAACCAACTCCATAATTTTTTTAAAGATGAGCACTTGGTTTTGACAAATGTCATAATTAGACACCACTGACCATTTAGGCTTAAGTAAAGAATCAATTTCTTATTGCATTTTATGATGTGATGCAAAAATGGATCATTATGGTTTCAATATTTTTATGGAATACATTGTTTCTTCATTTTATTGCCGAATATCTGGAAACCATTGAATACCAGCTGGCATTCCCGAATTTTTGTCTGGTTTCATATACAATATCCTGCAAGGCTTCATTGTCCAAGCCTTTGTACCTTCCCATTGTACCTCTACCTTTGAACAGTAAGCTCACCTCTTTATAAATTTTAAAAGTGCTTATAAGCGTCCTAAGGCAATGATTGTATAAGGGTGAGCAAGAAATGAATATACCATCCAAGCTCATTAGGTTGGTAAAAATCAGATGGATACTTCTTGCGTAGTCCGTATCCAGGCCAAAACATCCCTGATTTCAGGGCAGATAAAGGCAAGGTGATTCTCTACCCTGCTTTCTGTTTAACATGGCCCTAGAAAAAGTAATCAGTGATTCTGGTCTACAGACCTAAGGAATCATATTCGACAAATACATCCAGCTGCTGGCTAATGCGGATGTGATAGCATAGCCCCCACAGAACTAAAGGATGCGTTTCTTTCTTTACAAGAAGCAGACTTAACCTTAGGTCTTACCATTAATGAGTAGAAGATCAAAAATATGTATGTAGCAAGTGGTAATTGACCACTGATAGATGGTTCTAACTTCTTTCAGGGGGCCACAAAATGATTTGATTCTTGATTATCACTCTCAAATTATTTGATCAAATAAATTTTCCCAGACCATCATGAGAATCATATCTGCTAATACCTTTTTGGCTTCTTAAATATATGAAAAGTTGCTTGATCACAAATATCAGGCACTATAAAACTCTCATCTGCCCAGTACTAATGTATGCTTCTCAAGCTTTGACCATCTCCAAGACAACAAAAACAATGTTGTAGGAAAATTTTTCAAAGAATTTTTGGCATTGTGAAAGGAAATAACGGATGGTGAAGAAGATCAAATTAGGATGATTATGTCCTGTACAAAGTAGCTCTGTAAAAGAGTAATAAAGCTGTCAAGACTTAGATGGGTTAGTCATGCGAGGATCCGGGGGGTGAATTGCTGGCAAAGATAAACTATGGACTAGGCAAGATAAAGTTAGGAGGTGTAAATTTGATGGTGCAACGACACGAATGATATCCTTCTAACATGGAACAGGAAGGCAGCCGCGAAAGACTTCTGGAACAGGCCAGGGCCCACAAAGGGGTTGTAATGCCAGGATTTACAACTGATGAACTGTTTATTTATGATTAAAAATATTAACACAGTGATTCTCATAAAAATGGCCATTTATTATGCAACAGCTGAATACAACGATTGAGAAAACATTAATATATAATTAGTAATCACAAAATATAGAAAGTCAATTTTAAATTTCTCAAAATTTATTAAAACTATTTTCTTTTTGTTTCCAGACCTGTCAAATATATTTGAATCATTTCTACCACAACTACTAACGTATCCTAATCCCATTGATCCACTGAATGGGGACGCTGCTGCAATGTTCCTTCATAAACCAGAAGAGTACAAAAAGAAAGTCCATGGTATGTATGTAAATTGTTTCTAATTTTCACTTATATACACTAATTAATGTTAAATATTACAACAGTTTAGAAATATGTAATACATTAACTTTATATTTAATAGATATATTATATTTTCAGAATATGTTAAGAAATATGCAACAGAGGAGGCACTTAGAGACCAAGAACAACAAGTCGTTTCATCTGAAAGCGAGTCCTCTATGTCGGATTTTAGTGAAGATGAAGCCCAAGATATGGAATTATAACATTGGTTGAACCAACAACCTATTTTATAGCCTAAGGTGATACGATTTGCTATGTAAAAATAATTTTCAGAAATTAGAACACATTTCATGGAGGGTAAATCTAGGCACAACAGTGTTTTCTGGGCAACAGAAAATCCTCGTTGGAATATTCAAACGCGTTATCAAACAGTTAGTTCGATTAATGTTTTGATTGCTCAGCAACCCATTGAACCACATTTTCTTTAGGGGGCCATCTTGTTTTTATAAAAAGCATACACCCCTCACGTGTCTTCTGTTGGGCATAACTCAGAAATGGTCAGTCTTATCAAAATTTTCCTTTCAGTAAAAGTGGCATAAAATAAGCTCTAGAATTAAATTGTACAATAAAAATATGGGATTCTCATTTAAAAAAAAGTTGGTTTCATTTCACAGCTAGATGAAAAAATTATGTTAAATCTGTTACCACCATGCGATTCCTAACCAAAATTAACGGGGGGGGGGATTGTATAAGACTATTTTTTGTTAAAATTAATTGTTTCCGAAACTATAGACTATAGACTTGTATGGGTGGACTATAGAAGTTGATGCACCCTTTACAGAGAGAGAGGCCACCCAATATTAGAATTGTGCTTGAGCCCAGCAGCATTTTTATCCTTGTTCCAATTTTTGGAGGAACCAAAAATGAGGGGGAAAGTTGACTTAAATTTGCGTTAAGTCAATATTATCTGAGGAAATAGTTGCAAAGTTTTGAAACATTCCTTAAATCTTTTGGTACCATGAGCATTTATTTAAACAATGAATGCTCAATGTTTCAATTTAAACAATGAATAAATAAATTGGCTCTTGGTTTAAGAAGTTGAAGATTTCCTTTTTCCAAAAAACTATGTTCAGATTTTTTTTTGCGAATAACATAAGGATGGTTGCTTGAAATTAACAACCTTTCGCACCGTTGAATTTATTATTAAAAAACTTTTTAAAAAATGTACTTTTATGGGTGTCATAATTAAGCTCCTCTTCATATCCCGCTACTTTGGACAGAGACAACAAAAAATAAAAGTCTGTCTTGGGATTTTTCCCAAAAACCACCCAAATATAAATAAAAACAAAAAAGGCAGAAGAAAAGTTAAACTCACTTTGTATCTAGTAGTAATAGATTGTAGATATCTTGTTTCATGTTCACTTTTGTATATATCGATAATGAATGTATTTATTAGCATGAATATGTAGTATAAGAAGGTTGATAGTGAAATATTGAGTATTTCATACACCTTCAATTATATTATAATATCAGTAAAAGGTGATGGAGGAATATCTAGTACTCCACCACCCTGAGTGAATCCTTTGTGAATAGGAAAGAATGTATTATTAAGACTACATTTAATTCGTTTGGGGCAGCTGCTGGACTACCAAAACCCAAGGTTGGTATTCTTACGACTCGACGTGATAAGTCATAAGTTTGATTCTGTACACACAAGTATGTCTTATGTATGTTTGCATAATTGAGTTTAAAATCAGTAAACATGTTGCCCATTGTAATATACGACTTTAATATGATTTCTTTGTTACAGGTTTTTAAGGCCCGTAAGTTGAACAAATAGTCAGTGGAGTTATCCAGGAATAAGGGAATTTTTTATCATGAAAACCTTACATAATTAAATGGTTGTTGCTAAATTATAGTCTTTCATTATTTATATTTTCTGAGAGTTTATTTAATTTTGGTTGTTGAGTCAATGTTTGTACAAAAATCGATATTGTAGTCTTAAAAAGGTAATTTAAACAAATCCTACTATTGGATGATATAAAAAGTTTGTTAATCAGACTGGTTCTTAAAATAAAAGAAATGTTTTAAAAAATATTAAAAAATCGGACATAATTATATGACCTTGTTATCTCAGGATAGTCTTTCCATGGAGCCAATTACTTAAGTTATACTGTTAAATATATTCTATGACATCTGAAACACAGTAATGTTTATTACCAATGTCTTTTGTTTTTATTTGCCATTTTATTTGATAAATCTTCCAAAGTAAGTTATGTCGAACAATTTTTTTTTTGAAAATTTACCATTGATTACATTGCTTTAATATTCCCATTGATTTCATATTGGCTGAATTCATTTTGATGTTTGTACTAAAAAGTAAAACGGGAAAAAAACAAATAGTTAAGATAAGTAAAAAAAAATAACTAAAAATAAAAAATCTACAATTTTTTTTACTTTAATATATTAATAAATATTAACATCTTATGTATAAAATCAAAAATTTCATGTCTGTAAATTGTAAATTGAACTAGAAATTTATTCTTGTCAGAAAATTAAAACTCTTGCATCCACTGTATTTAAAATCTTAATTTATAATGAACACATGCTCATTTTGGGACTAAAAGATAAAAAATTCAATTACAATAATAGAACATGTTTATTCTTACATTAATCAGAATGATTGAATGTCATTTTTACTGATATGGTCTAAGTATAGTAAGTTATAATATCACTAAAAATCACCTGTACCAGGAGTTCCAATTTATTCGGAATTGAGAATTTAAAATTACCCAATACAAATTGTGAGTGGCCAATGATTATAAGATGTAATAAGTGTAATTTGATACTGAGAAAACTTTCATGAAAATATACGTTAATAGATTTTAATTTGTTATCTCTTCGAATGTTTTTGGTGTGCCATGGATCGACTTGTAAAAAGTGTACTTAAGTTTTTTTAAATATGACTGCCTTTAGAGTTAAAGAGGTGTAGTGTTGCAAATCAGTGGTATAATAGCATGTTACCTCTCAAATTGTATTTTTATGTTTATTTCATCTAAATATGTACCACTTGGGATTTTAATTGTGCAGTCATTTGTAATAATTAATTTCATGGTATAACAGTAGTTTAGATTACATAGAGTATGTTCTGTATTAAAATTATATAAGGGCCACCATTAAATTTTTTAATGATTATTTTTTAAGATATATTATCATATTTATTTTATAAACAGATTCTATAAAGATCAAAATTGTGGTCCAAAAAAAAAAGCAATGCCAAGCATTCAACCAATTTATTGCCTTCATCAGGGCTAGAAACTGATAATTTAGATTATAAGTATAATTTTACATAATAGGGTGTACATGTTACAACAGAACTTTAATTAAGGCATTTCGTCTATTCATATTTGGTTAGATTAAGTTTTTTTAAATGTTTTGAAACAGACGGAAAATTTCCATTTATCAATATAATTTTATGACATAACTGTACAAAAATGGAACGTAATTTTGCACTTTTGCTGAAAATAGATTCTTCCATTTGTTGCTTTTCAATTATGCCTTCGGTACATTTGTCTCCTTGCTTTTTTAAACAATTAGCAATTCCTATTAATTAATTGCCCAGTTATAAATGTACAATATTGCAATTCATCAATGGATACAATGATTAATTGAAGTAATTCCATTTCTATATCTAATTGGCCACTGAAAAATATTTTTTTAAACAATTTTTCCATGTTCAAATTATAATGTTAGATAAGTTTTTGCCCAATTTATTTAAAGCTTTACAATTTTGTTTTAATAATTGTCAATTGCCAATATTTAATCATTAATGATTTTGAATCAAAAGCTCCGCATGACTTTTAAAATCTTATCAACAATAGGGACCAAATATTTTTTAGGCAGTAACACATCCAATTGGATACCGACTATGTTTCAACATTTTAAGCATTCTTACAATAGAACGACTTCAATGACAACTTTGTTTGGTTTAAATGCTATTTCACTGATCTAATGTACTAATAAAATTGTGCTGAAATACAATAATCATTAAGACTTAAATAAACATGTTATTTTTCTTTTTATTTAAACAACTGGGAAAACTATATTAATTAAATTTTAATGTTGAAAATATTTTTTGTGGCCAAATTATTATCCTTAAGATGACATCGTGACAAGAAGTATAATTTCGTATTGGATAAATTGAGTAAAAATTGGTTCTATCCTTTAGAATTTCTGATCTTATTTAACTTTTTCCCCAAATTTTTGCCTTAGATACTTGCAACATAACCACTGATTTATGCTACAATATTTGAAAACATTGCTCGTTCCATTGAAGGAACAGGTGCAGAAACCATTGAGGACAAGTTTCTAAAATGAAAACATTCTTTTCGATAGTATAAAAACTTTATTTTATTAAAACATTGTGATCTATACAGCTATGGGCGTTAATTGTATAATTAATAATATAATCATACTAACAAAACAAATATTCAAATTTGCCGGACATGTCTTTGTGATTTAATCCCTAACAGATACTATGTCGGTAATACAAATGATACATAATAAAAACTAGTGTATATATGCAAAATGTGAGATTATAGACGATTAAACATTTACATATAATAGGTAAATAGGTGGCCAATGTCTTACAATTTAATTTACAATACTTTTGATATTGAAAAATGAAACGTATTCTTTGAACTTGCAAGGCAAGCGCTGCATATTTATTGTTGTTATTACAACAGTTTTAGACAACTTTCAATGACAAAATAACTATTGTAATATTTATTTATTTTTAAAATGTTTATGATATAAAATAGTAGTGTTATATCAGCAAGACATTGTAATTTAAACTTTATTGGATTAAATCAATTTTTTTTATATGCGAGCATAATTATACTTTGTAAGTTTGGACATAAAATAAAACCTTAATTCATTGATGAAGGGAGTTGTTTTAAATTCTCTTTATCAGTGGTTTGGAAATTTTGTTGTAAACTGTTTCAAAAATTCCAACACCAGGAAGTAAACAGATGTAAATATTTAACAAAGAAAGCTATTTTATTGACATTATCATTGTGGACGTAATGTAAAAGCAAAAAAAGTTTTTCAAAACCTTATGAGTACTTGTCAAATAAGTGTTAAAAAAATGATTTATTTGTATATAGAAATTATTGTTAATGAAAATTTAAAAGTCACTATTGCAAACGTTGCAATTGTTAATCTTTAATACCAGTTGCTAGCTGATCACATTAGTGTATTAAATCTACCTCATAATTAATATAATTATTTCCTGAATTGTGAGTCGTTTTTATTAAACAAACCTCAATAACTCCAAGAAGCTTTATCCTTTATTCTTGGACAAAAGATTACAAAAAATTATTATTTAATTGTTACAATTGAACATTTATCAGTAATGTAGCCTGTAAATGCATTCTGTTAGTAAAAAAAAAATAAAAAAAGAAATTAATTAAAAATGAAAAACAGAAGAAGGAGTTACGAGGTTTTTACAAAGGACAATATTAACAATCAATTCATTATTCTAATATATTTCTGGATTACTTAACGAATGATTACAAGTGAGTAGCACGCTACATTAATGGTTAGGAATTTAGCTGTAAAATATTAGGATAAGCTGTAATACATTTTAGGGAGATAGGTGGTTTTGAATTATATACAGTTAATTGTGTGCAAAATGTAGATGGAATTATCACTGCTACTAACAAAATGAAAAAAAAAGTAAACCAGATTTGAAAATAATATTTTATTTATTTTTGAAATAGTTAACCTTTACATTATATAGTAACTATTTTTAAGTAGTTTAAGAAGTATTTATATAAAGTTGCATAATTAGCTTATATATTTATGATAACTTAAAGAATACAGGTGTGAGAATTGTGCTATGTATGATAAAATACCCAGTTTTTATTTGTTTGTCTTTATTTCAGTTTATTACGTGTAAAGCATTTATAGAATTTGTCTTTGTATCAAAGGTATTAAATCATTCAGCTATAAAGTATAAGAATAAACTTTGTATTAAGTTTTGACAAACACTTAAAATATGACAAATTTTGGATGTGATGTAATACAAGAATTCGTCAAATGCTCAAATTGATTTCTATTTAATTATGCACACGTGTTATCACAATTAATTTTGTGGCTATAAAAATTAAAATAATTTTATTAATACTTTTGAATTTAATCACAGTTATGTTTTTTTGATTATGGTTGATTAGTTTATTCTTGTTATCATTTTGTATTTCTATATCACGTGGTTTCTAAATGTCCACATTGTATTGAAATGCTGTGTTATGGGGCAATTTACATGTTTCTGATATCAAAAATTACTGAACCTTATTTTATGGTGTTTTATAATATTTTAAATAAAAATGTTAAAATTGTATGCATTTTTTTCCCCATCTGATCGTATTTGTCATGCAAGCAACTTTGATGTTGAATCCCGGATTAGCCCTTCGTTTTTTAATTGACAATATGAAAAAGTATTGTAAAGTGGCCTCTGGTCCACATCCAACAGGTAATTGGACACTAAAGCCCTGTATGACAGAAATTACTTTACATTTTGAATGCTGTGGGCGAATGGTTAGGGTGTCCGACTCGTACTTGCTATGCTAGCGATTCTGGTTTCGAAGCTGGCAGAGCCCATGGTTTTTTATAGAGTTTTGACCCCTCCATGATATTCAATGGGTTGTTGCCGTTGGACATTAAGCCCTCCTGTATGACAGGAATTACGTTACTTTTACTTTTTATTCCCACACCACTTTACAATACTCCACAAGATCCTGCCAAAATCATCCATTTCCAATGGCTACAAATTTGTCAAAATTAAGTTCTGTTTTTGTTTTAAATGCTGCGTCCGAAATGACAGATTGCTTCAAAGTAGAATCCTCACTTCTTCGACAGTGAGAGAGCACAATCTTTATTAAATGCATCAACATTTTTATCGCTGCTTAAGTACTGTACTACACATATAATATGTATTGTCTAATTAATTTATTTTTAACTGACCGTAGAACATAATCCAGTTTGATTTTTCTTTCTAATATTTCTGAGAGCACAATGTTATATTTTAAATCCATTACAGTTCGTGGACCGATTGGCCAATTAACTTTTTTTCAATTAATCTTTATGAAAGGTATTGGTTGAGATAAAAAAGTTATACTTTAAGTAGAATAAATTACTTATTTTATAAAGGTATCTATTTGAAGTACATCAAGACGTTTCTACATAAATTATAGGTATTATTTAAGAGACTTTTTCCAAGTGCATAATATAATCATGGGTACTACAGGTAAATTCTATACTTTTTAATAAAGTATATAACTTCCGTTTTTTCATACCTTGCAACACCCAAACTGGAGTAGTTTGGACTTTGTTGTATACAATAAAAGGACAAAAATGTTTATAGTAAATTTGGCTAGCGAAGACCTATCATTGAAATGTTTTTCTAGTGAAATGCTGGATGTTAAAGTTACTTTTACAACCCACCTTTCATAATATGACTTATCCAACCACCTTTGCAGAAATATGAGCATAAGGTACCTTTTTATAACACAGAGCTGAAAATAAATTAGCTTTTACATTGCTTGAAACTAAGGAGATCATGCAGATGGAAGGTTTTCATAAAATTTTCCGTTTCACATATGAAGATATTATATTTCGTCATAAATATCAGGTTAGTTTATTTCTTTCGAAACTAAGGGGCCATTGTATAAAATTTCTTCATTGTTTGGTGAAGCTGTTTGGGAAAATTTAAATTGGTGGTGATCAGCACTTAGTTTATTCCGAGTAAATTTGCTCATTTGAATTTTCTTCTTTGATAACACATTAATAGCTTTGAAGTCACTGTGATTCATTTCAAACACCAAAAAACATGGGGTGTGGGCTTTTTTTGTCCACTCTTCCACATTCTATCGAGGCATAGAGAAGAAAGATGTGACCATCCAAAAGAACTTATGTTCAATATCAGAGAAAACCACGAAGTGGTGAATAGTGAGAATGGTACAATTCCTCTATTGTTGTGGGTGTAGTTTTCCGAAGGTGGCTATGACAAAATTTAAACATACAGGAACCGATTTCCTTTGAACCGTGTTTTGCAAGCAATACTTCCATACTAGAAAACTATATTGGCAATGTGTTGCTAAGTTGAATGTAAAAAGAGTTTTCCGAACGTCCAAAAATTGTAATTACACTGCCATTTTTGGCATCATTGGCATGAGATGCTTGATCAGATTTCAGTTGGTGATCCCAGCATTCATGGTCATCTTTGATCGTTACTTTGTTCAAGCATCAGCGTGATTTGCAACATCCAACGTTTTTCCATAGATTTGAAGAAAAGAATCGTTCAGTGTAGAGCTCTTCATCGACCTAACAACTTGATTTATAGATTGGAAAAAAACAAAAGGACGAATTTGTCAAATTCCAACGCTTTTTGACAGGTTTGAAAAAAAGAATCGTTCGGTCTAGAACTCTCCACCAACCAAACAAGTCCATAAATCAACAACTCATTCAGTTCCATCGTTTTTCCATAAAAACAACCAATCGATTTTGTCAAATTTGTAACATCCAATATTTTTCCCTAAAAATAACTTTGGTTAGTATGTAATCAATAACATCTTTAAAAATCTAATAAAACCAGGTTTCCACCCCAACCAGAGGTTCTCGTCCTCGTCAAATACGTCAATTCCTTTTAAACTTTTAACCAATTAGCTGTTGGCGTGTTACTCCGTTGGTATATAAGCTAAATTTTATCGCCATTTTGTAAATAAATCTTTCTACGTTTGCTGCAAATGATTTCGTAACTTGGATGAAAGCAGAAATCTCGAGAATTTTTTCCCAGTAAGTAAATTGAGGAATGATGCCGCTAGGATTTTATTATAAAATATTTTAAGGTAAAAAAATATTATCTTACGAGTACCGTTGTGTCTGGTTCGTGTAATTTAGGGCAATAGCCGGTACTTCCGGTGGTGCATCCGCCATTTTTCCGTCCGGGTGACACTTCGTTGCCGAGTCAATCCCACTTTTTCCTGTATTGCGTCAAAATCATAAACTCAAATTTTCAAGGCTTTTTTTAGGAACCAGGATGTCATAGAGCAGGCTTTGATAAATAAATTAATTGAAAAAAATCCCTCGGACGATGAGCGAATTTTGACTCGTTATTCGATAGAAACCAGACCATTGAATTAACACGAATTAACTTTATTGTCAAAATTGTTTTCTTTTTTATTTTTCCCTTTTATTACCATTTACGACTGATCAAGAAGAATATAACATCATGTTTCATATTTGCACAGTTTTAACTAACCAATTCAGCTTCACTGTTTATTAGAATCTTTCAAGCTTAAAATTCTCCAGTGGCATTTCGTCCCTCAAATCATAGCCAAAAAATCAAAATAATTTTAATTAAGTCGCTATAAAACAAAACGGGGAAAAGTTTGAAAGTTGATAACTTACAAAAGTTAAAAAGTTTAACTAATACTTTAAAATTGTGCTTTACACTGCGGAAGAAAAGGCTCAATCCTAAAATGTTCTGGTCATACCTTATGATCAGACCCATGATCACGTATGCAAGTGAGATAATGGTGGGAAAAAATGGAACAAAAACGTAGAGGATATTCTTCACAAAATGCTAAGTATAGCATCCTTTGGGCATCACTGGTTGTATTAAAAAGTTAAAATAATGAACATGCATTCATTAGAGTTCTTGGTTCGATTGACCGAATAACTTTTTTTCAATTAATTAATCTTTATGTAAGGTATTGGTTGAGATAAAAAGTCAGTGTCACGAGCGGGATTCGAACCCACGACCCTCGGTTAAATACGCCGCTGCTCAACCACTTGAGCTGTAGCGACTTCGAATCACTCGGACAACAACCTCCCACATCAACCCAAGCTTTCGAATTTTCCCTCCTTTTTGACATTTTTCAAATGTCGTGTAATCAGGATTCGATTCTCGGCGACAAATAAAATAGCCACGGATTTACCGTGATTAATTTATTATATATACTTCATTTAACTAATTAAATTAAAAAGTGCCACAGTTAAAATAATGAACATGGCTAAACCAACTATGATATATCAGAGAAAAATAATAAAATCGAAGTAAACTAAAAAATAATTATTGAACAGAGAACTGATTGGGAAAATAAAACAAAAGAAGATAAATCTGGAACTCTTTTATGGTATATAGATGGCTCAAAGTAAGGAATGGGCATAATGGTCATATTTAGAGAACCACGTGGTCTTCGGCCCCACCACAACCATCTTTCAAGCCGAACTACCAGCCATAGAAACATGTGCACATGTAAAAAAGTATGCATGCATAAATTATAAATAAAAGGCCCGAGGCTAATGACTGGACCGTCATTACATCACATTACATCCTGCATAATATATAAATAAATAAATATCAGAAAATAATAAGTGAGCTAACAATAAGAGCTTGAGGAATATTGATTGAAGCCAGTCTTATTGGGTCGGTTTGCAGGGCAAATTATTGGGTGCTTTTAATTACTGCATGGTGCTACATGCTATAACACCTTGTTCTCCAACAACATATACTTTCATTCCTCCCTGGCTTTCTTCTCCACCACCGTACATTTAGCTTCTTTCCGCTCTCTCTAGGTCTTCTCTTTAGGTCTCCACGCCTTTCAGCCACTGCAACTTTGGTTGGCCTCTCTTGCTTCCAGGATGCCCGCCCTCCCTACGCTAGACGAGGAAGTCGGCTTCCACCAGGTGGCCCAACCAGCGAAGTCTGCCACTTTTTATAGTTGCTACTAAACTCTCATTTTGGTACGATTTTTTTCAGTTGTACGTTCTGACGAATTTGTAGACCGTTCTATACTGCCTGCCCAAAAATTACCCGTAGCACCTTTTTCTCCCAGCAGTTTATTCTTTTTTCTTCTGTTACGGTGAGTGTCCACGTTCGAAAGAAATTTATTTCGGAATGTCTTCCTTAACGCCCCAAGCATCTATTAAAACCACCTAAAGAAGATGGTCAAAGCATAGATGGAAACATGCCGACCCTGTCAGGAGGAACCAGAGATATTGGCACATATCCTTTGTGAATGTGAAGCATTAGCCCGGTTACAGTACTGCCTCTTCGTTAAGGCAATTCTCACACCAAAGGAGATGCGCTCAGAGGCAAGAATACAAGAAAAAGTGCTCTTTCCAAGACTATGATTTATATGGATTCCACAACAGATCAATAGATCTATATAGATCGCAGTGGAGGAAAGGATTTTTGAACCCCTCCCCCCCAAACCTAAGAAAAGGTATATATACCGGTTAAAGTTCACAGGAGTTATCAATGGTCATATAACCTCTCTTGTGGCTGATTTTAAGTTGTACAACAAGGTGGACTGTGGGAGTGATTGTCGTCTTC